TAGGATTTCCAATGTGATAGTCCTAGAATTTCAACGAAAAATTACGCACTAAAATTTCCCCACCAGAGAGAAAGTCCATCATATCTATTAACTATCACATTGGAGGCTGGGCGCAGTGGCTCACGCCCAGCAACACTTTAGGAGGCCGAGGCAGGCGATCACCTGAGGTCAGGAGTTTGAGACCAGCCTTACCAGTGTGGGGAAACCCCATCACTACTAAAAATACAAAATTAGCCAGGCGTGGTGGTGCATGCCTGTAATCCCAGCTATTCGGTAAGCTGAGGCAGGAGAATTGCTTGAACTCAGGAAGCGGAGGTTGCAGTGAGCTGAAATCATGCATACCACTGCACTCCAGACTGGGCAACAAAAGCGAAACTCCATCTCAAAAAACAAAACAAAACAAAACAAACAAACAAACAAAAAAAACACTATCATGTTGGAAGGGACTTCTTCACAATATTTTTGTTTTCCCTCTTTAAGCATTGAGAGGCTTCACAATAAAACAAGCAATTTTTACTTGCATACCACAGTAAACTAGAAAGTCTCAGTTTAGCTCCTATAATCTTTCAAAGTAAAACACAGGAGTAAAAACACCAAATAAATGGTTACTGCTTAATCTGTTTACATAGATACTCCTTGACTTATGATGGGGTTATGTCCAAACCCATCGTAGGCTGAAAATATTAAAAACTGAAAATCCATTTCCTACACCTAATCTACTAAACATCAGTTTAGCCTAGCCTACCTTAAATGTGTTCAGAACACTTACATTAGCCTACAGTTGAATAAAGTCACCTAACACAAAGCCTATTTTATAATAAAGTGTTGAATATCTCATGTAATTAGTTTATTACTGTACCAAAAGTGAAAAACAGAATAGTGATGTGGATACTTGAAGTATGGTTTCTACTGAATGCAAATTGCTTTCTACATCATTGTAAAGGTGAACAATCTTAAGTTGAAATATCACAAGTCAAAGACTATCTACAAGAGGCTGGTGCTTGAGATGGAACTGACTCAGAGAGTAATCAAAGGTGGCATGATTTGGTGACCTATTGTTCAGATCAGAAGTCTTTTTATCCCCCCAAAACTTTAGGTGTATTAACAGCTGTGAAATCAGTTCAGTGGAAATTGATCTGCTTTCTTGAGACAATGAAAGAGTACACTGCAGACAAGAAAATATCAGAGTACTCTGCACATTTATTTTTTTAGTGAAATCTGTTTCAATATGTATACAGGGTTAGTGTAAAATATATTTCTTACTGAGCTCAAAAAGTCTTGAGACATGGTTCCAACAGAATACCAGGAAAGAGGCTAGAATCAAGTGAAAAAGAAGCATATGAGGTAAAGTCTACCTTCTTCAAAAACATATTTGCCATTATTTTAGGAAGCCAAAGAAGCACAAGATACAATCAATCATATGTTTAAATTGCAAGAAGTGGTAAAAACTTTCATTTATTTTTTTTGAGACAAGGTCTCACTGTCACCCAGGCTGGAATGCAGTGGCACCATCTCAGCTCACTGCAACCTCTGCCTCCCAGGTTGAAGCCATTCTTCTGTCTCAGCCTCCTGAGTAGCTGGGATCACAGGCACTTACCACCAAGCCTAATTTGTATATTTTTAACAGAGATAGGTTTCACCATGTTGTCCAGGCTGGTCCCAAACTCCTGGCCTCAAATGATCTACCCACCTCAGCCTCCCAAAGTGGCAGGATTAGAGACGTGAGCCACTGGAGCCAGGCCAAGAAGTGGTAAAAATTTTAAAGAAATTTTCCTTTTATCAAATGGAACAATGATCGATTCTATGTCTTAAGGAGATAAACATCAGGATTTAGTCATCCATTTACCAAAAGCCACTCCCTAAACACTTCAACCATTCACAGGGTGTGGTGGTTCACATCTATAATCCCAGAACTTTGGGAGGCTGAGGTGGGGGGACCACCTGAGGTGTTCGAAACCAGCCTGACCAACATGGAGAAACCCCATCTCTACTAAAATACAAAATTAGCCAGGCGTGGTAGTGCATGCCTGTAATCCCAGCTACTCTACTCGGGAGGCTGAGGCAGGAGAATCACTTGAACCTGTGAGGTGGAGGTTGCAGTGAGCCGAGTTCATGACACTGCACTGCAGCCTGGGCAACAAAAGCAAAACTTGGTCTTAAAAAAAAAAAAAAAACACTTCAACCATCTTCTCCCACCTCTACCTACTTTTCAATTGCTAAAATAATGGATTTTGAAAAGATAATAAACCCTAACATTTTATTTTTATGTTTTAGCAATAGGGCGTTGCTGTACTGCCCAGACTGGAGTGTAGCGGCTATTTACAGGCATAATCATCTCACACTGCAGCCTTGACTTCCTGAGCTCAAGCCTCCTGCCTCAGTGTCAGCTTCCAGAGTAGCTGGGACTACAGTAACACGAAACTGTGCCCCGCATACTCCCGTATGTTAGATCAACGGTTCTCAACTGAGGGAGATTTTACCCTCGCCCCTACCTCCCCGGACATTTGGCAATGTCTGGAGACATTCTGATTGTCACAAATGGGGATGTGGCGAGAGGGGTGATGCTACTAGAACACAGTGGGTGGAGACCAGGGATGCTGCTAAATATTTCACTATGCACAGGACACCCTGAGCCTCCTCAACAAATAATTGTCTGTCTCAAAATATCAACAGTGCTAAGACTGAGAAACCTTGCTGTAAGTCAAAGCTGTATTACTTTCAAACCTAAATAAACCCAGGACAGACACCCTTAACCTGTATCACTTTAGTTAGTTGTCAGCTCAGCAACTCCATTACTAGCATACCTACACACAGGTTTAAAGCCAGATATAAATTATAAATATGTCCTTTTGCTAGTGCCAGAGAACATGGAAATCTCTCCACAATGTTCATAAACTTCACTAAAATTGTTTGTCTTTGGTAAAGTCAGAAAGGTCTCTAATCATAAGTGTATTTCATAGGTAGCTGATTTTCAGTATTTAAATATTTTCCCTTGATCCTGAATAAATCAGTGAATAAAACAGTAAGACTCTGATACAGCCAATGTTATGAAAATTTATTTATTTCTCCAAAAGATCCTGGAATAAGCAGAGTGGGTATTACGAAAAGGAGATGGACTGCATGCAAAATACACTTGGAAGGAAATCTAATAAAAAGGCAAGGAATAATCCAGGTGATGGATGAGTCTTCTTTCCCTAGAACCCTAAATATTACCTCCTTTAAGCAGTTTCCTTTTTATTTCAAAGTCAGATATTCTCAAAGTAACAGCAAAAAGAAGGGCTTTAGGATATCTTTAATGGTCTAAAGAAAGGGGAAACATATGAGCGGGAAAGTTCCCGGGAGGAAGAGACTAAAATAAAAGTACTGGGTACATGGATTACATAAAACAGAAAAGGGGTGGTAAGTATGTGATTATGACTAGAAACACAAAACAACTGACTTCATTTTTTATTTAATTTTAATCACAAACCATTAATCCTGCAAAGTTTTAAACGTTAACTTGCCTCGATCCTACTGTGTCCCTAGGATTGACACACTTTAGTGTGTAGCTTTCTGAAACTTTTTTATGGACCCACAACATATTTGTTCAGAAATCTACATTAGGAAGGAAATATTTCTCGAACGCCTTTCCATGACAGTATATTGAGATTTTTCCTATTCGTTCTAACATTTTAACAGTCTTCCTAAAGAAGTGACTTCTCAAAGTATTATTTAACAACAACAACAACAAAACTCTCCCCTGTTCTCCAAACCTCAAGTGGTGAGGAGGTGGGGGGAAAAATGCCAAGTCGAGGCAGACAGGCGCAAACTTACGCTTTCAAGGAGGTTTATGGGACTGAGGCCTAAAGGCTTCGTTAGAGAAGTCACTGTGGATAATTCACCCTCACACGCCATTACAAGCACCGACTCCCCTTCCTCACAACCCCAAATCGAAGACCTCCCTCTTTTGGAGAGCCGATTGGACGACTGGTCCGAGCACTTTCCTTAGGCTGTCCGTCTACTGGCTCCAGATTCAGTCCATCAGTTTAACCGCCCGACTCCCGCTTTCCCCATTGGAGTCAAACCGCTGCCTCCTGGAGAAGCCCAACCTACCGCGCGCTTCGCGCTCACTGGCTCAGTGAGACGCAGCTCAGGAGGGAAACCCGTCTCCCACATTCCGATGGCCCAAGGGCCCATCAGTCGGCAGCTCAAGGCAGACACAATTGGCCTAGACGCAAGCCAGTCAAAGTCTTCGGCTGCACCGCTCCAAAGAACCTACAGGAATTAAAACATCCCGCCCCCTGTTCTTCTATTGGTTGGCCCGACCCACCGCTGCCCCTTCACTATCCCCCACCCCGCGGTCCATTCATTTCACACAATAACGGGCCCAAATGGAGTCAGTTCAAGACCTACTATGGGTAGAGAAGACTGTCTGCCACTTACCCGGGACTGAGAGTGATCACTCACGCTAACGTCTGCCCTGTTCCTGTATGGTGAGGCCGCAACGAAAGCCACCACCGCCGCTACCTTCTGCGCAACGCCAACCGCCCGCCAAAACGGATCCTTCCCTGCGCCTGCGCAACCAATCTGCGAGCGGACCATTTCTCCGCCCACCACGCATGCGCAAAGCTGGAACCAACTCCCGCCAATACGCAGGCGCCATAGGGTCACTGCCTAGTACTGCCCGCCATTTCACGTGTTCCCAGAGGCAGATGGAAGTTCTTAATGCGGCTGCGCAAAACTCGCCATTTTGCTACACGTGCGCTCAACAAGCAGTCAAAATTTTGACCTGCTGGCTAACTGCTTTTCTAACACATAGTGTTAATCATGCTTTGCCAAGCGTAATATTTGCGCGGGGAAGATTAAAAAGGCCTTAAACACCCAAGGCGGATTCAAATATGAATGATTGATCGGCTGGCCAATCAGACTGGTTAAGAAGAATATTACTCGGGAACCAATGAACTCCAAGGGGTGGAGACGGCGTAGAACGCCCAAAGGGATGACGTTACACAGCAGTGTGGCACCACAGGCCAATAGTAGGGGGAAGCGATTTCACACATCCAATCAGAACTGTTCAAGGGCGGAGTGTACCAATGCCGAAAGGGAGGAGGCGGGGTAAAAAAGAAAGGCTGAAGGTAGGCTGGCAGATACGTTCGTCAGTTTGCTCCTTTTTGCCCGTGGACGCCGCCGAAGAAGCATCGTTACAGTCTCTCTTCTCCCTGCGATCATGTCTAAGTCAGAGGTGAGTTACGCGCTCTTTCCAACTTGAATTTCTTCCTGTTCCTTTCGTGAATTGGTAAGACGAGGCTTGGTTTCGTTCCTTGCACCAGCCCATTCTACAGCTCTTTCGGTCGCTGCCACGGCCTACCCCTCCCAAAGTTCAAGTCGCCATTTTGTCCTGTTGATCGCCATGAGGCCGCTCACGCCAATCATGAGTTATTATGCAGGACTCGGTAGTCTAAGCAAAATTCTTAGGCACGAATCTTTGTCTTTCCTAAACCTTGCTTTGGTGAGCGAGTTTTTAAAGAGCGATTAGTCCCATTCTGGCGATGCACCCCTCCCGCCTAAGCCTTTGTTGCGCGTGCGTCGGAAGGCGACTAGGGACGCATGCGCTTTGGATTTCCCAGCACTCCCAACCCCCAACATACCTTTTCCCCTGTTAGGAAGAAGCACATGGCTTGTTGCAATCTGAACGAACAATAAGTGCTACATACAGTTTTCTAGTTTTTCTTTTCGTCGATGGAAATTGTTTACTGTTGCAGCTCATTTAACACTTCTTCTCTCCCTACTCTAGTCTCCTAAAGAGCCGGAACAGCTGAGGAAGCTCTTCATTGGAGGGTTGAGCTTTGAAACAACCGATGAGAGCCTGAGGAGCCATTTTGAGCAATGGGGAACGCTCACAGACTGTGTGGTGAGAATTGGAAGGGACCAAACAGTAAAATAGTGGATTTCTTTGCTTTATCTTGGTGCAGTTCTCTCTGAATGCTTATGAAGGTTGTTAGTAGCATTATAGTTAGAGCTTTGTTGACAAAGGAAAGTCCTGTTTATTTGATTTCTAAGAGTGACCTCTTAAACCTAGGATAGTGGGAAACTGGAGGGGTTTTTTATAAAGGGCTGGTATAAAGTTTCTTATTCCCCTATTCAAAATTAAAATGACAAAAGCTTTTGGGGTCAGACTTTGTTACATGAATCAACACTGTTCTCAGGTAATGAGAGATCCAAACACCAAGCGCTCCAGGGGCTTTGGGTTCGTCACGTATGCAACTGTGGAGGAAGTGGATGCAGCCATGAACGCAAGGCCACACAAAGTGGATGGAAGAGTTGTGGAACCAAAGAGAGCTGTCTCAAGAGAAGTGAGTGGTGTTTTTACCCTTCCCTTCAACTCATTTGGCGATGTGCTGCTAGTGGATTTGGATTCAGGATTTTTATTTGGGTGTAGGTTTTGCTAATTTAAACCTGTGGTTTTCCTCCTATTAGGATTCTCAAAGACCAGGTGCCCACTTAACTGTGAAAAAAATATTCGTTGGTGGCATTAAAGAAGACACTGAAGAACATCACCTAAGAGATTATTTTGAACAGTATGGAAAAATTGAAGTGATTGAAATCATGACTGACAGAGGCAGTGGCAAGAAAAGGGGCTTTGCTTTTGTAACCTTTGATGACCATGACTCCGTGGATAAGATTGTCAGTAAGTACCAAATAGTGAGTGGTATTTAGTAAGGGTCCCACAATCCATATGGCATTCTTAACCCTGAGACTGTGTTGTATCTGTCTTTTCTTTTTTTTTTTTTTTTTNTTCAGAAATACCATACGGTGAATGGCCACAACTGTGAAGTTAGGAAAGCCCTGTCAAAGCAAGAGATGGCTAGTGCTTCATCCAGCCAAAGAGGTATGCTTATGCTTCGTTAAACCTTAAAGGCAACTTTCGGTTACTCCAGTATGAATGAGTTAACGCTTACACTTAATCTCTTTAGGTCGAAGTGGTTCTGGAAACTTTGGTGGTGGTCGTGGAGGTGGTTTCGGTGGGAATGACAACTTTGGTCGTGGAGGAAACTTCAGTGGTCGTGGTAGGTATGGTTTATTTACATGTAGTTCTGACTTCTTACTGTCTTTGCTATGCAGATTTTACAGTACAGGAAGTGCATCCAGAATGTCACTTAATGTGCAGATCATGCCTAAAACTTGAAACTTTGTTTTCTTCCAGGTGGTTTTGGTGGCAGCCGTGGTGGTGGTGGATATGGTGGCAGTGGGGATGGCTATAATGGATTTGGTAATGATGGTAAGTTTTTTAGGAATAAGTAGATAAAAATTCCTGGCAATGCCTATCTTTAGAATAGGTTAGTAAAGACTAAAATTCTAGTGCATGACAAGCTCAACTTTTCCCATAACACGCATGCTGTGAGCAGGCCTTCAGCCATGACACTTTCACAAGTTTTCATTGTCAAATACTTATGTCTTATTGAGAAGAATTGTATTCTTGTAGGTGGTTATGGAGGAGGCGGCCCTGGTTACTCTGGAGGAAGCAGAGGCTATGGAAGTGGTGGACAGGGTTATGGAAACCAGGGCAGTGGCTATGGCGGGAGTGGCAGCTATGACAGCTATAACAACGGAGGCGGAGGCGGCTTTGGCGGTGGTAGTGG